ATGGTCCTGCGTTGCATTCAATTTTTACAAAACTCAGTGGAGATCTAATTAGCAGACATGTTATTTTGTATCACTTCTTGCTGATGGTATACAATTGTATTTAAATTTTAACCAGAAAGGTTCATCTGAGCCTGGGAGATCTTTTGGTATCCTCATAGTTGTGTGCTTGAATTACGGGATTAGATGGCTCAAACCTTGCTTGTCTTAACGATGAAAAGACGGAATTCTTCATTGCAGATCTAATTATTTTAGAAAATGGTTACTGATGTCTGCCTTGAAATTAAATATACCACTATACAGTAATAAATCTATTGGAAATATCGGGGAATTGTCAGATCATATATCTGCTTTATGCAAATCGATTCAATTGAACTATAATCTCCGAAACTTATACCAGATTCGTTGGTACATTGATGTACCTACGCGTGAACATGCTGTTATATGTCTTGGTGTGAAACAACAGCAAAACGAGTAGGCCGTATGCATTAGCCCAACCTACATGTTTTCGGCTTGTTTTATACAAAATAAAACATAAATATTATATAAAATATATTTTGAAGTACATGCCATATTACTGGGCATAATAGTAGATGTTATGTACCGCTAAATGGAATTAAACGAGTATTTAAAAAAAAAAAAAAAAAAAACAACCATTGATAAGTTTTGACAACAAATGCCATCAAATAAGTTGTTATGAATAATATTGTTTCACTAAATCGTTTTGAATGTTCCTCGAAGTAATAAATGTGATGACATTTAAAAAAAGTATGTGTTTGTTTACACAGGAATAGGCATATTACCTCTGTGTAGCAAATGGGATAGGCCTCTCGCAAATAGTTAAATTGTATCCTATAATCAACCACGCAAACTATCAATAAGCACAAATGTAATGTCGGGAGATTATTCGATTATAGGCATAGTGTATAGAATACTTGCTTTGGATTCCAAAATAGTAATAGGCCTAAAATAGTAATAGGAAATTAGATTTAATGGTTCTATTACCGGTATATAACATATTAATTTGAATAACTGTAAAACTTGATATATTATAATATTATTTTTTAAGAGAAGGGAATGAATGCAGTTATGATGCTGAATATTGTTTTAAAAACAGATCAATTCTTAGGAAATGAGATAGAAAAATAATAGATAATATTAGATATTATTCATGATTTAAATCTTGAAATGGTGTGAAGAAATGTTTTCATGGTTGTTCTGTACTATTATGACGTAATAAATGACCTTTTAGTCGTCAAAGAAAAAATAAAATGTAATATATTATTTACAGTACTGTATTTGATTGTGGACATACATTATTAACATAACCAATAGTTCAGTCTCTAGAATACTACGTAAAATAAGCTAAAGGACATACTGTTTATGGTTAGTTTTCAAAGAGCATATTTCTCTCATTGTTTGAAATTCAGACTACTGCACCTACACTTATTCATAATACTGAATAAATAATATCTAATACCGTAGCACATTGTATGGAAAACCTCCGAAATAAAATCTTTTTTAAATAATTGCTACTAACTACATAAAAAATGAATGTTGATTCTTGCACCAAAGTTTATTGTACAATATACACATTAAACGTCCGCTAATTGGCATAGGAAATGTGTTACTCATTCTAATTTTTAAAAGCTAATAACTTACTGAAATATACATTAGGCAATTTAATATTGGTTTTATATATCAAATTTAGTGCACGTATATTTATAATATTTCCCACGTGTCCTTATGATCACTTCAGAAATATTCTTCATTCAATATTAGTATCGGTATTTCAATCATTATTATTGGACGAGGGAAAAATACTCTCCATGGTCAATCAATATGTCAATTACCGTTTCCATTTCAAAACATCATTATCATCAGGTTCATTTTGTTCACGATCAATATCAACATCACCATCCTCGTCATCATCGATATTATGCAAACTAAGCACGATAGTCAATGCCATCATTAGTATCATCGTCAACGTCATCATCATTACATCATCATCACCATCACCATCTATTGATCGATCGCGAATACTCATCGACAAAATATTTCATGCTTTAAATTAAGCTTGGTTTACACACAATCGCTACAAGCTATCGCCGACAGCTTTCGGTGTAGCTCGGTTTTCAAAGAAGCACTCATCCTAGGCGACAGTTGCCGGGAAGGTTGAACCTTTCTTCAACTTTGCCGATTGCGTTGCAGGCGGATCAGAGTGCATTGCTAGCTGCCCTGACGCAATCGCGAAGGCACCCCGACTATTACCGAAAGGGTGAGATTGCAATTAAAAGACTGTAGCGACAGCGTAAAGATTTTAAGGAAAGGCTTTAAAACCCGGATGAATATTCCATTAAGGTACTTTTTTCGCTGAATGGCAATTACCATTCTTATAAACTCGTGACTCTTCATCTTCCCATCTGCCTAGATTAACTGTCCAAGAAAACTATTTTTTAATGGTCCTAAGTATTGATTTGACCTTCAAAATCAAATTAGGCAATCAAGCTTGGCAAATTTTAAACGTAAAATTCTCTGCATGAAAATATCGTAATTTATCCATGTTCGGGGTGAAGTGCTGTGTAGATGAATGAATAATTTGAAATGAATTGTTAAATGAATGCAGATGACTTTGTATTGATGTAAATGAAATTAATTGAATAACTGAACTTCGTCATTACCAATATTAAATATTTAAATGTAAAATCTTTTTCTACTGGTGTAATTTTATTGGAACACAAGTTTTGCTGGCTCTAACTACCTTCATATTAAGGTAAATTAAATACAGAATAATGTAGTTATCCTATTCAACAACTGAAAAACCAAAATTTGAATGAAACAATTTTTTACACTGGCACCAGAAATTCCCAGACGAAGAGAGTCCGACATGAGGTACAAGTTCCCCACCAAAGAACAAATTTACCTCAGCCACACCCCCACCCCTTGTGTTTGGAACAATCTTAAGAACAGGCACTTCTAAATGCCTAGAACAGTTAAACTAAAACCATTTTTAGAGCAGTTTACCAAAACAAAATAGGTTGCTGTTTGGCGACAGTGTTTACCAACAGGGGTTCTGTGCCCCCCCGACCCTCAACTGGCACCACCACTGCTGTACATGCTCAGAAATGGCACTCTCATTCTTTAAAAATGTTTCTCAAATTGTCTTAATTTTAGCATTAAAAGTTCCATTTGAAAGAGATTTTTTGCAAAATTCATGCATTTGACATGTTTTTTGGATTGTCTTCAGAACAAGTCAATATTATTTGGACTTCAGTGTTTCATATGAAAATTACAATGCGAGATACGAAAAAAGAGAGGCTTCCAAAATGTTACATTCTCTAGTCAACACAGTCCACTTGGGAAAATAAAAGGTTCATTCAAATTCTTAAGTCAACCATAGGCATAATTATATTATTCCGATGGCGTATTGATATTATTATATTAAACAATCAAAGGTTATTGAATCATACTTAAATTATTGGGAATATCCATTCACTTATTAAATTGGTGTCCAATCTGTTCACACTCTTTGTTTTTTCATTAATGTTCATCTTGACTTGCTTCTGTATAGATGTGGTTTCTCCTTTTAACAGTATTGTTGATGATTGTGAATTTGTGCATAAAATATTTTTTTTCTTTCTTCATCACAAACTTGATTAAAGTAAGCCTTATGTTTGACCCATCAGATATCAAATTAAACAGTCTAATATGAGATGAAGACGAGGTCATTGTGGACAACGTCCAATACAATTACGAACTCATTGACAGTTTTAATGCAAATTTTGCAAACATTAACTCTTCTATTAGCACCTTCCATCTAAATTCATGTAGTCTTGTTAAACATTTCTCTGAAATTACTGAAGCTGTCAGTGCCTTATCTCATAATTTTACAGTTTTTGTTTCACTGGAACTTTTTTTAACACTTTGAAAACAAATTTCTGCGTATCCTACTTTGAGATGTGTGCCCTTGTGATGCGAAGTATTATGTATATTTAATAATGTTTAAATATAATAAATATATAATATATAACTATTATCTCAATATTAATTATTTTTTTTAGAATACTGAAGCCATTAATTCCAGATTTTCATGGTTTGTACAACGCTATGTGGTGGATAATAAATCACTCAGAATAAATTGTTCTGAACGTCAAATTAATCCTCATCCGTCTGTCATGGTATTCCTTTGGTACTCGATGCTGCAAAAAAAACCAAAACCAGATTAACGTAACTATAAGAAACAGAACGATATCCTGATTCAGTCAATATACAGTACTTCAAATTGAAATGTTAATATTATTTCTTATATTATATTGTTCAGAGTGATTTATTGAGAGCCGTTGCAATAGGCATTTGCTTTTTTTAACCATTAACTCTCAATCTCAGCTATTTTCAAACCATCGCTACTCACACCCATTACCAAACACTTCAATTATAGCTCATTACTACTTGTCTCCTTGGGTAAGACATCAAAAATTGTCATTTGTTTTAATGCACTTAACTATCAAAATAATATTTAAGCCACAAATCTAATTCAGTTGTCAATAAATACCTGTCAAGTTTCTACATTTGCTTTAAGGTTAGCAACGCAACTAACATTTTAACATTGTCAATTAAGAAAAAACAACCCAAGTATACTATTTTCCAATTTAATGCATTCTGAAAAAAACGAAATATTATGTTTATGTGATGCATTGCAACGATCAAATTCTTCTTTAAAAGGTTTCCTTCTTGAAAAAGGAATGGTATAAGTTGGTTTATCAAGTGAATTATACAAAAGAGACATAAGAATATAGAATGTAATTTCATATTAAAGATGTATTGTCCCAAAAACATAAAAAATTATTTTTGAAATTAACTTGCTAATTTTGAAGTAGCACAAAATTTATCAACTTGAACATAGAAATTAGTCTATTTAAAAAAAGGGCAAGTCAATTTCAATATTTTTTTCTATGAATTTTTGTCATTTTTAGGGGGACAATACACCTTTCTGTCTTTTGTTTCATGATGATTGATAGACAGACCTGCCAATCTTCCTGTACAGCGCCCTTCATCAGCAACAGACACCCGTTGGTCAGGTTAATTTGCTTTTTATCTGTAAACTCGTAAGTGTCTTCGAAATTCTGCAGAGGACGTGAAAAATGAGTTTTTATGGTTATTCAATTTTCAGTTGCATCGATCGTTGTCATTATACACCAGGGGTCCCATGTATTCTATGAATGTTTAATAGTCTATCAAGGTTATCTGCCCATGGATATTATCATGCACAGCTAAAATACAACCAGAGCCTTGCAGGCGTCAATGTTCCTATGCTAAATACCATAATGTTTGGAAAGCTCATTAAAATCTCCCAGATGCAGTTTCTCCCAACTTTTGAACCCTGATAAACATAATTTTCCCAGAACAATGATCATAATCTTTGTTAACCTGATTAAGAAAAACTTTTGATGTAATAAAAACAATTATGATACTATTATTACCATATAATTAATCAACATCATAATTATCATATTCAAGAACATTAATTATCAATATGTCCATCTACATTGGTAGTAATAGCGACTACTGTTACTCATCAACACTATCATTATTATCATCACCACTACCCACCACCATAATCTCAACATCACCAACCACAACCACCATGTTTTTGTTTGCTATTCTTTTTTTTTAGTTTTTTATTATTTATTTTAGGGGGGGGGGGGTTGAGCACAATGGAAATAAGTTTATATATTAATTTTACATGTTACTTTGTTGTGCTTCTCCAAACTTTTCTAATTGGTATATGATTTTACAGTATATACTTATTGTATATTTTTGTATTTCATATCTGAGATTTTTTAAATAAATAAATAAAATAAAATCACTACACACCACCATCACTCCCATCATTATCATTACTATCAATGTTTTCTTGAAAGTACAGTATACCGAATTCAAGTAAAATGGATCTTTAACACAAATACATATTATTTTCAAAGTTGTACCTCAGGATTTTTCCGTAGTTGAAAAGCACGAGTTTCACCAAATGACAACGAAGCAATTGTAGGATTCGTACCAAGAGAATATTCGTTATCACTGTGCCATGCTACACTATCATGTCCATCTCTGTACAAGTTCCCAAGCATGGAGTTGAATTTCAAACCAGTTTTTTTTGTTATTCTTTCACGTAAATCTTCTAGTACAGGATGCCACTAAGGATGAGAAAACCCAAATACATTAAAAAAAACAAAAAAAAACGAGGAAATTTCATGCAGAACCAAGGACTACCCCCTTTGCCTATTTCTAATGAAGAATTTTAAAAATAAAAATGCAAATTATTCATATACCTACCGATTTTGTGGCTTCTTGTGTTACTCCGGAATACTTGTAACGGATATCACCATACCAGACAGTTAGTCTGGGCTCCATAAATGTGAAATCATCTAGATAAGAAAATGTAATGTACAATGATGGTATTAGCCCGAAGCCAGAGTAGTGAACTGTTTGGTACACCAAGACCCAAGGCACACTACTGTACGTCGGCCCCAGGTCATCTGTGCTCTGTGTGACCTCATGGCCAATGTGATCTGCTGATTTTCATTGGTAATCGTTATGAAAAACAATCCATCAAGTTCATCACGACATACATCAGCAACAACAACACACCTGCTATACAGTGAATGGCTAGTGTTATCCAACTTACCCTTTTTGTTGATTTTTTGTGACCATGGCAAAGCGCTACATAAAGAGTTAAATATGCCTAGAGCTTCATCTTCACTTAAAAAATCTGGATACAATTCAATTCTGAAGTTAAAGGGGAAAAAATGTCCAAATATGATCTATCAAATTACTATGTACAATATTCATTTTACATCATAATACTATGAGAATATTAGAGAAAACAATAACTATCAGAATGAATATATAGAAACAGAAAGAGTCAACACACACATTGAATTTTCTTAAATTTGTTTATTCATATTGAATCAGAAAATTAGAGTGTAAAAACTTAAAATAAGGATGGATGCATATGCTGTTGTTTATGGAATTGTTAACTTCAACTGACCACCAACATATCCCTTCTAATGTAGGCTGGAATCATACGGTGACAAGAGCTTTATGTCTGTAATTCTTCAGCCCTAAATATTATTTAAAACCGTCTGAAGATAAAAATCTTTCTGTCTTTCCGGTCTGGGTTAGGGGTGCAAAGTGCACATTGGCTCGGAGCTGATTGGATTGGTGTGCCTCCGACCCTTGGATGGGATGCCATGCTGTTGGTCCTCTTTATACTAAATAAATAAGAATGGGGATCAACACCCAGAGAACTACCATTTCACTACACATCATTTTTGTGTGTATGAACCTGTGTTGTTTCTGTAATTTGATCTTGATATTCTGTATCATTGTGCTAAATAAAGACAAGGTTAAGCTTAAAAATAATTAGAAATAAAGGAAACTCACATGGCTGGCCCAGAAGGTTTCTCACTGATTACATATGTTCCTTTATCCCTACAAAATAAACATAGTTTATACACTACAGCAGAGTTTTAAGGAATGCAATGTCAAAACATGAGAGTTCTCACAGATGGTTTTACATAATAATTTATGGTACTTTTTAGAAAATAAACTACTGTATAATTGCAATGCTTACCCTGAAGCATCTTAGACCTGTGGGGAAAAGTATGGTTTCTTTTTTTCATAATCATGAAACACAAAAGTGCAATGATAGACTTCTCAATATGAATAATTTTTTCACATTCACAAAGATGAATGTTTTTTCTTTTATCTTACTCGATTAGCTCGTATTCTGTAGGTGCCCTTCTATCAATGTTTGGATCTTCGTAAGTGAGACTCTGGCCTCCAGCTACCCCCATCTGTTGTCCTGCAAACCTGCTGATGGATCCATTTTCATTATTTACCAATGACTCTGGTTCTGGATCTGGAAGTCCTCTTGGTTTTGCTCCTGGTCTTGCAGCCCCTCTGCCAAAGGCACCACCCTGAAGTCTTTGTTTACGTTGACGTGGATTTGACATATTTGGATAAACTTATTTCTGAAAAGGAACTTTCAATATTTAATCACATCATTTATATAATGAATCATAATCAAACAGCATGTCAGTACTGAATTACATTGTTTAGCTTGTAAATAAAACGTCATGTTATTTCACAAAAAAGCATCGACCATAATAATGGATGGTAGAACTAGGCTAGGCCTAGCTAGGGGTCTAGGCAGTACAATCACGGCAATCACCCAATGGCCAGCTGGTTACCAATCAAAGATATTATATTTATAGGCCTATCTAAGGCCAAGTCGGCCCTCTACTGTAGTGTACCATTTATTTGTGTTAGAATGCATAATAATAAAACAAATCCTACTTTATCTATTAGATGATGAATATTTAGCAAGAGAGCTAGAAATTATACATATTTTTTTTTTATTACAGGCAATAAAATATTGCATTTTGGTCCATAATTAAGCGTGAAAGCTTGAGACCTCGAATGCGTGAGCCTTGATTGACGTGTATGAACATCAAATGCAGGTGGGTAGGCCCAGGCCTATGCCACAACTGATCCAACCCCACTTGAATGCTAGCTATTTTACTGAATAACTTAACTTACTCTAATTACAGTATTTACCAACACGAACCACTCAATCCTGTCTAGGCCTAGCATACCCCTAGGCTTACCATCAGTTCGCTCGCGGGGTGAGGTCAAGGTGGGAATTTCCCCGTGGTCGTCGGCGGTAGTTGTTGTTGTTGCTTCTGAGACTCTAGAGGGCAGCACACAAACATTGGCTTCCGATCATCGAGAGCATGGGGTCGAAGGGGAATTCTCAGCAAAGAAAAACAAAACTAGGCCTAACTGTCGTCTCAGAGTTGTTGCTCTGTAGCTAATAGGTCTAGCCTAGTTTGAAAGTAATTTTAGGCACTTTTGTCGATTAAATCAATGCTTTGGTGATAGTCCACATTTTATACAGTTTTATTGAGGGTAGGTAATCGAATGGAGGATATACTAATGATTTTTAGGCCATCTAAGACTAAGTAAGACAATGGAGGCCTAGCCGAGCCTAGGGTAGTAATAATATAGTAGTAGGCCTAGTCCTAGCCTGCCAAGCTAGGCCAAGAAAGGTAGGTAGGCCTAGGCTAGGCCTTTATTGGCGCGGATACAGTAGCCTAGCCTAGGCCGAATACCCCCTAGACCTACTAACTACTTACCCACGCCTAGGTCTTGCCCCAGGAAGGCCAGCAGTCTAGCTAGCCTAGTTTAACAGAACTGACAGTTAGTACTGTGGTTGTCTAACTTTTTTTTTTTTTTTTGCGATTGGCAAAAAGGTCACACAAGCCATATAAATCGTCAGAATTTTCATTTATTAGAGTACATATTATTTTTAAAGCATTAATTTCTTTTTAAGCACTTCAAAATCAGCTTAATATGGCATGGTACATTACTGTACCTTTCAATTTGGTGCATAGATATTGGGCGGTTCTTTTTGGTGAAATCACACAACATGTTCTGTCGATAAATGCATTATAATACCATGGAGGTATTCCTCCATGACAATACATACTAATATACAATATTGCTGTTTTTAAATACTTTTGGGCCAATGAATTTACTGATAATCTTATTTTCATAAGTGCCTACACTGTCAGGCATCATAATTGATTTAATTGCCATTTGTTAAATAACATTGGAATTTCTTGTGATGCTCACTTAAATTACAATACAAAACTCAAATTATAAATTAAATTAAAAAATTAAAAACTCATCATTCAGGAAAATCACATCATTATTACTTAAATTTATTATTCTTTTTAAGCCATTAAATCCATTAATGCAATATTTGCAAGAGTCACACAAAGTCATGTATGCTGTCTACAAATGACCCTAAATCCGGGCATTCACTGCATTAAATGACGGTCCGCCGATGAATCTAAATCTGCTCCCTTAGATGACGCGACTCCGTCTGCTATTTGCAGGTAGCAGTCGGATCATCAATAAAAACTATCTGTTGTGCCGTTGCAATCTCCATAGAATCATGTCTGCCAACAATTGTGAGTGCCTGGCTTTTGACTTCATGATATTGATATTAAAAAACCATTATTCACTTTCTGTTTTTGTACTACTTGGCTCAAATTCTTTTTTCTTTCTTATTGACGTAAATTAATACTTTCCTTCCTTGTTGTAGGGATAAATAGAAATATGGGTGCGCAGCAGAGTCAACCACTCTACAACCTTCCCCCACTTGCTTCAGAAGATGTTCCATATACATCATATTCTGTTGAAAGGCAAAAGTCACAGAGAGGTAAGTGACTCATAGGATTTGAACACAGGACTCCTGGATTTGAAACAAGCATCCAGATGCGAATCCAATGGGGTGGGGGGTGGGGTTTCCCACAAAATTTTAAAATTTTAATGCATTATTGAAATAAGCGCACTAACTTATCCATTCTGAACATATTGTGCCCCCCACTACTGTTTGAAAAACAGGTTCCCCTCTGGCATCTTAACCACCAAGTCACAGCTGTACAAATTCACAAAAACCTTAAATTATAATGCTAATCATTACCATCTAACTGTCATTTACTTCCATTCAAAAATGTACACATAAGAATTAAATGAAAACATAGATAATGAAATTGAAGGTTTATGGGTCATGATGTAATTTTATCATGACCATATTTAGGAATATCAAATTTGTTTGTCTCTTTGGGCATATTTGGCTTCTCCAGACACAATTTCATTTTGACTAAATATCATTTTTTTTGTAATGTTTCCATTTTCATTACGGTATAAATCTGTATCTGAAATACATATGAATGTCTTATTATTTTTTTTTTTTTTCAGATTCCAGGGAGTTTCATCAAAGAAATCAACAGGTGACTGTTAAGTCACAAGATGTGACTTCTAAGAAAGCTAATGATATAGTTGTAGTTGCAGAGGGATCCTCTCCCAAATTAGATTCTGGTTTAAATGTTGAACTGCAAAAGATGCATGATATACCAACTTTCCTGCCAATTATGAGAGGAACCCTAAATGTCCCGAGTATGGAAGATCCAAATGTGTTGGATAAACTAGATTCAAGGTAACATTTTAGCTTTATATTTTAATAATTTTTAAAACTTTTTTTTAAATTTCTAAAAAGATTATTCAGTGTGTAAAATACAGGTATATTATTTCTGGCTTTGGTAGATATTTTTTCAGTGTTTAAGATGCTTTTAACTGTTTCTTTATTTTTTTATTTTTTCCCCGTCTAATTAAAGATTGTCCTCTTAAGTCTGACAGATACTTTCTAATAATTTATTCCTATCTTTAAGCCCTGTTCATGTTATCAAATTTTATTTGTCAAAAACTTGTGACATGCCTAAATATGGTCATGATGACATCACATCATGACCATATATAGGCACATCATGGCTAAATATGAGTGTACAGGAGTTTGTTGTCAAAGAAAATTTGATAATCTAGACAGAACTTAAGCCTCATAATGAGTATAGAGCATGACATAATTTATTTCAAAAGTGATGAGTCATTTATGGCTGGATTACAATACAGCTTAAAAAAAAAGATCAAATGATCTAATTATAGACTATCATTCTGTAAAATGAGTGAATTTTTTATGGTGTTGCAGATCTATTTATAGTTTAATTTGATGTTTTAGTAGGAATATGCTTTTATTTTTTCAAGTAAACTTTATGCTCTTTCGGTACGATATCAAGAACATCTCAAATCATGTTCAGAAGCTGTGACCTTTGACCAGAATTCTCTGACACAACGAGTGAAAGAGGTCAGTATACAGTGTACATGTTGCCTTTAGGCCATATTAATTTAATTGTCTCAAAGCTCTCCTGTTTGCAAAAATCAAATATGGAATGCAGGGTTTTTTTTTCAAGTTTTGTTTTTTAATATGTTTTAATAACATTATTTTTATGTTTGAATTGAACATGAACACCATGGAACAACTCTGATGCAAACTACATTTCAGTCATGTCATCTTTATTTTCTATGTTGTCAGACATCATTTAAAATCAATCTTACAAACAAACATATACTCCAGGGTTAGCATTTGCTGGAAGGATGCAATATTCAGCTCTACTAATTGATTTGTATTGTTTTGCTTCATTGTGCTTTGTAATATTTTCACCTTTTGATTATGCACAACATAACTATCTTTGCATGGAAAGGAGCCAATATCTTCATTGAAGGGAAAAAATCCCTCCTATCTAGACCTAAACTCGATCTTGGCCAAAGCAGATAGTCTAAACTGAGGGGCCTAGCCAGCCTGATCTCACTGTAGGTCCCTACACAAGTACAGTACGTTTTTCATCAGAAGTCTTTACTATTTTACATACCTAGATTGTGGATTTTGCTCAAACACTGCATCCATGGACACTTGTTTAATATCTATTTTGATCATTCAATAAATCAATCAATCACTGTTGTGTTGCGTTTTAAAGCTGAAAACAAAAAAAATAATTATAGATGTAAACAATACTGGCTTTTAAAATTCCTGTTAGAGGGTGCTCTTCACTTACGAATTATAGTGTGTTAACACAAATTAGGCTACTGTAAGAAAACGAATTTCTTTTGAAAAAAGATTTTTCTACCTTTTTAGGTGATAACAACATGCATGAATTTACAAATGCGCAAATGAGCTTTGAGATGAACATTAAATTAATATGGCCTTATGTTGTAACATTTGAAATGTTGTCTCTGTTTTGTTCAGCCATTATCTTTAAAAGGATGAATGAATAATTTTTTGTTTTTCAGATTGATTCAGAAATCAGTGCAATAACAAATACATTATCTGAACGGCAAAAGAAATTTGCAAAATATGCAGAACATATTCAGAAGATAAATGAAATGTCATCAACAGTGAAACGTATCCAGATGGCTGTTGATCAGCTTATACCAACAATGAACATGCTTAACTCAATGTTGCCAGAAACAGAAAGATTAGAACAATTCAAAATGAAGAACGAGGGAACAGGACGAAGGTAGCAGTAAGAATCATTTGGCTATTGTGTGAAAACTTACTGGATAAACTGACTAATTGCGACTCTACCTTTAAGAACACCACCATGACAAAAATAGAACTGTTCGTCCATCTCAGCAAACCACAGTTCCTACCCATAGAACATTCTCATTCCTTTGTCGACGTTCTTTGGGCATGCTGAGGGGATGGGGGTGTTCTAAAATGAACTGGGATTATTAGTAGGTTTATCCAGTTAAGAATCTCACTCAAAGACTTCCAAACTATGTCACTTCTGGTATGTGTAAAGTATATAAGTTGATTCTCAAGGAAAGCTGAGTAAGGTTGTTTCTCTTCAAAGATAACATATGTATACTGTATTTAATGACAAGTCAGTGAAAGCAATATTAGAAATATAAAATGAAATACTGTATAAATTAATTGACTTGCTGTATTTCGAAAACATATTAAACAAATATTGAAAATATGTATGAATAAATATTATTTGAGTTTTTTAAAGTATTGTGTCTTACTCAATTCTATGGTTTTCTGACATGTTAGTTCCACGATCTTACTCATCACTTTTAAAGCATTTCATCTTAAGCAAAGTGCATACATTTCCAGGACACTCAGCTCAAACGATAAGTTTTCACTTTCCGTTCCCTCCAAAGCCTACAGGACTGTTGGCATAACATATTCTTCTGCAGCACCAAAACTTCGGAATTCACAATCTGCATACATTAAAATTTGTTTTATTATTGCTATATTATTATTGTTTATAATTATTATGCAAAATTATGGAATTCTCCCCAGGGAGCTACGGATGTGTTTCATAAGTGTTTGATCCAATGACCGGGGTAGTAATGTGAAGCGCTTAGAGGATTTATGCATGAAGTGCTCTATAAGACTGACATATTATTATTTTTATTAATTAGTAAATTTAATTAATGATTAGTGCTTTAGGCTCTAAAATTTGAAAGAAAACGAATAATTATGCTTGATGGCTGTAGTATCAAGAATGTTGAAAGACATTAAAGGACACATTAAAAGTTAGCACTAGTTAGTTTTTTTTTGTTTTTTTTTCTTTTGCCTTATTTAACTGTTCTTGAATTCATTATGTATTAACGTCGGAAGGAATTATTAATAGTGTTCAGTTTGAATACCATGTTTGTGTAATATTAGAAAAACTTATGTCGACATGCAGCCTAAATTTTAGCATCATCAACTGTTAAAAGATAAGATAGGGGCGCCACCTAGCGTCAAATAGCTTTCATAACGTATAATCTTCTGTATTGGTTCGTTATAGTTTTTTAAACAATGAGCTAGAATCTAGTTCCCGGAGGTGCAACGCCACTCACCCAGCGCCCCCCCCCCCACCCCACCCTTTTCAAGACTCTTAGTAGATTATGGATTCAGACTCAGGGCCGAATTTACAGGATACCATTATCCCTGTGATACGGGCCTCTATTCTTAAGGGTTAAGTTGCTGGTGAACACAATTCTTAATTTGTTGAGAGTCAGTGAGTTCGTAGAGAAATTATTACTAATGACATAACAGTCTGCAAAACTTTCTTCTACTTCGTATTTGAGGATATGCCAGCATAGCAGTCGTCATGATTTGATGGACAGACCCTTTAAAAACCGATAACTATCATTCTCTTCAAAAGATCATCATCGCTTTAGACACTTCCCTTTCTGTTACCTTCCAGGCATGGCAACTATAGACTTCCTCTGAATATTTAAGTAAGTTATTACCGGTAGCTTTTGGAATGAAAATTAAAATGAGGAAATATTTTTAACACACGCCAAAATAATACCCATTCTGTTCTTTACATAGATCCTGATAATTTAGGGATTTTCCTTAGCGAAAACAATCATTTCGAAAATTGGAATTTGTCAACGACTTTCAAATGAGCAATATTATTTTAATTGTATGTTTTTGAATGTTTTTATAGAGTATATCTTTATATAACGAATCAACTTAAAACTTAGTTCTCGAAAGTCGAGTCCCCTATTTGTCTACGGACGGTTCAAATCGATTAATAAAGATGAATTATGGAATTATAACTTTATTGAAGAGAATTGAAATCGAAATCTGAAGCACTGCCAAAACATGTGTTTTATATTTTTGATTTTAAACTTCAACACGACGCATGGAACGAAAGTTCAAACTTGTGTCTGATATTTCTGTGTAATTTCAATTGCATTATCTTCTTAAAATAATTGTTTATCCCTCGCACATCGAAGAGCTTCCCAGTATTATTCGTTATACACGCATTCAGGCAGTTTCACGGTATCTTTTAAAATGTCCGATTTTAACAGTAGTAGATTGTTCTTAATAGGGAGATTTCACAACCTTACGAAAACGATAACGAATACGATTACGTCATTATCATTATCGTCATTCATGCCTAAAATATTCTTGGCAATATGCTGATCGAGCTGAATATGATCCTTGATTCATACAATCGCTTAATTTGTGACAAATATGCTACTGTAGGGGAAAGGGTTGTCTCAAAATTTGATGACGTAACCATATTCGTTATCGTAAGCTTGCAAATTATGACAACTTAAAACTAATTTTCATGGAACCTTGATTGCGAAAGTCTGAAATAAATTGATAGTGGTTTGTAGAATTGGTTTGGAGATACATTCAGCCAGTTTCCAAGGTATTTTAAAGATGTCCAGTTTAACGGTAGTAGATTGTTCTTAATTCATGACAACTTAAAAACTAATTTTTACGAAACTTGATTGTGAAAGCCTTAAACAATTTGACAGTTGGTGGTTTGAAGGTGCATTGTTATCTACCGCAAGTGATTCATCACTTTGTGTATGGTTTATTAATCTCAGTTTAGATCTTCGAGGTTTTTTTTAAAAAATAATTAGTGGTACAAAGTGAAAGCAACTGCAACGAACCTGTGACACCTTGACCATCGAGACCCAATGTTATGCCTAATATTATAATTTTATTCGTCAAGCTAACGTATGTACTCTAGCAGTGTAGGACTACCATAGGCCTAAACAAGTCCAATTGATTATTAAACTCTTCTTACTTGACTGAATAAAAAGTATATGTTGGCCTAAACGATGCCCTCGTAATATGAAATAATTAAAGCATTAGTAGGTTGTATACAGTCAGTACATGCTAAAGCTCAAATTAATCTTATGTAGGTCCAAAGACACTGCCGAATGTACATTCCGTGTAGGCCTATAAATAGCATGCATGATGTTAGACGTTAAGTTTGAGATTTCTTCATAATTTACACATATTTTTTGGAAAATTTGAGTTGATCGCAAATGTATCTTTTCTGTGGAAACCTTTTAATAGGTATGACAAATATAGTCATCATTATCCCAGATATTATGTATATTTATTTTGGCTTGATTGAGACAATTCGGAAATTCCGGTAATACAAAGACTAGTACTACATGGCAGTTACAATTACGATACATTAAATAAATCTCTTTCATGTTAAAACAAATATATAGTGCCAACAAAAATCAAATGTAGGGCCTATGTCTATAAAAAAAATGTATTGCATTATTTTTGTAATTCTCTTGCCTATAAAGGCCGATGCGTACGGTACTTTTTGTACGAGCCAATATGCATATATCTACATAATAATAAAAGCCGTAGGCCTATATAAGATATAGGGTAATGCTTGGATTTTCATTAGTTCCTCATCTTCAAAGCTGTATGAACCGGACATATATTCACTTAATATGGCAATTTACATCCTATATCCGGTTTAATAATGACTCATTAATAAATATGTAAATTCTAGTTAAGATGTTGAAGGAAGATTAGTGACTAGGAGTGCGAAAATAATGTTGTTTGTTTCCTTAACAGAAAATACAATTTTAACTGTGATTTCATCAAAATTGTTATTTTTTAGGTAGGTCCCGACTACCTATACTACTTTAATACTGCTGATTGTAACTCAAAATTGAAGAACCTTTAATGTTGACATTCTTATCATCATTATCGTTATCATTATTATTATTTTTATTATTATTATTAGGCCTAATATATATCAGTATTTCAATGTATTGTGTTTTTTTTTATTATATTATTGTTGCTTATTGTTCAGCTATATTGATACAATATATCACACATGATATTATCACGGCCGTCCATTATAGGAATGAATCCTCAGAATTACAGTGATATCGCTTTTTTTTTAATTCTTGAATTATTCTGACGTCGTTATAGCCTATACTAATTCTGTTGAATGTCATAATGATAACAGGTGATAAAAAATGAAAATAGACCACACACAATATTTTTCTGACAGACATTTTTTTCTAAACTTGTACATAGTTTAATGATTAACGTGTCATCTACAGAGACAAAAGAGTTGTTGTAAAAGGTTACCATATAGGCTTAGGCCAAAATTTGGAACATAAGACAGACAAAAGGAAATGTAGAAACGCATAATTTAATAATGAAAAACAGATATGTAAAATAAACAAACAGAGATAACCAAAAATAATCAGCAAATTCAAAGGAATATGTTTTTGCATGTTACCACTGAATTATATCAATCTTCTATGCATCGTACAATTATACATAAATAAAGCTTACACACACTAACAGAAAAAAGATGCGTTTATGAAATTACCCGACTGCTCTAGTTCACCTTATTTGATTTATTTAATGTATTTTCTCATTATTGATAGTTTTTTTTATTGTAAAAAAAAAACAAAAAACAAAAAAAAAAACAATTCAAGTATTTTGACCTGACATGCGCTTCCAAAACGGTAGCAAGATCTGGATTATAAGAAACACAAGCACTTGTTGAACAACAGAAGTTTTAATGCTTGATCGATTACAGAGATTTGCACGATGACACATACAAATTCAAGACAACTAACTTACACAGTCAAACATCACAACCAAATTAAAACAACAAAATTAAATCAGCCTTGCATTATTAACCATAGCTTGAGGTGTGATTGAAATAAATTTAATCAAATTGGAAAACAATTTAACAATTCTAAACTCTCCTCACTACTACCTTTGTCCTGTCATCTGGTTTTTGATCAAAATTAAAAGCTGCGAAAAAGCCTGACCCCCTCGTCTTTGTTCTTTTCTTATTGGCTACTCAGTTACAGCTGGCTTTGATTTCCGTTCTATTTTACTCAGAAAAATCTCTAAAAAGGTTAATGTAAAAAAGAATGTCGCCGAGATTAAGGAGTATAAAATCACGATAAAGGAAAAAAAGAGTTCGTTGGTAGATAACTGTCCTATAATATTGACAAGTTTCATATTGACGTTGAGTGATTTAAAGTCTATGTCTGTAGGCTAAATCTTAGCTTAGGGCATGCGTATCTAACCCAACATTTCATACTCTAACCTAGATTCACAAGGAATATTTGCCTGTTCGAGGGTAGGACGCCCCCTATAAATTACATCAATTTTGTAACATTAGGACTTGCATAAACGAATTGGCAGACGGTATTGACTTCAACAAGTTCAATTTAGTTCAAGTATTTTAGAAAATCCTCCTTGATACTTTA